CCACCAGCAAGCCTCCTGCCCGAAGGTACTCAGCTTTCTTGCTCTTTGGGCCAGGAAGTCCACCACGCTGTCTCCTACCAGTCTCCTGCCAACCTCCTGCCTCTGCTGCTGCCATTTCTCTGATGCTGCTTCTCGCTGTCTTCAGTGTTACAGCTCTCTTTTGGCCTCCTGGTTCCAGGAGCTTCTCAGCACAGGGATCCTGGGTCCAAAGGACGCGTTCTACTCCTAGCTCTTCTTTCCTCATGGTGTTGAGAACCTCTCTTCCTGCCTCTGGGATGGCTCATTTTAAGCCTAGCAGGATGGTAAAACTGACCAATCCCCTTGTTATAGTCCCATACACCTTGTTTGCATGGTCCCACCCAATCATTGTGTTGAAGTCACAAAGACTATGGCTAGAAGGGCCATATTAAGTAATTCACTGTACTGCAGGCCACCCCCTGGTTCTTCTAGCCTTTGGCCCTTTCATACTTGAAGGATTAACTTCCCCCTTCCAATCATTTTACCAGTCCAAAACAGTTATTAACAATTAGTCCTTCAACAGGGCAAAGAGTCCTAAGGGTGAGGTTACTCAGGTACCAGCCATTCAGGTCTGTTGCAAGTATCCATCTGATCTGGTCAGGGTCTCCAAAAATTCATCTCTTCACCCTTTCTGGTGTCTGGTCAAGTCTAACTGAGAGAAGAATATTCCCTTGCTCTGAGCCTCACGAGGTATCAGCATTGCAAAAATTTTCAGGGACTTTAGTTTCAGCCACTGTACTCCAGTCCAGCAGTGCCTCCCCACTTAGTCCACTCTTTCACACTTACAGCCTCTACAATTAGTTTTTACAATCACAATTAACCCTGCTAACGATCAACTCACAGCTGAGTTATATAATCCTATCAACATCTTCCCCTACCCTCTCTTCCCCAGACCTATCAGGAAAAGAGGAAACTGTTCAGTGGGGATCCTCCCTTGTCCCCCGCATTTTGAGTCTATGCCTACCCACAAAAGGCATATAAGCCAGCCACTTCATGCCTTTATCTCCTCGCATTTTAGATAGCCAATGTTTAATTTGCCCACCCCTATCAAACTAGTACTTTGAGGAGACTAGCATGTTCCTTTATCTGACAAATTTTTGGTTCCGGTTGGAACTTTGAGCATCTGCATCCATAAGTAAAGTCCAGTCCAGAGCAAGCCATCAAATTGCAGCAATCTTACACCAGCTCGTGGTGTCAAGTATCTTTCTCTTGATTCAGTCAGGTTCTTGTCAGCTCATCCCTAGCCATCCAAGCTAGGTCAAAATGGGTACCAGCCATAGGCTCAGGCGTTCACACACCTCCCTGCACTTCTGACTACCCAGTCCTTTCTCTCTCATCCCTAGCCCCCGTAGGCTAGGTCAATGGGTGCCAGTGGAACATGTCCAAACTCAGCCCATCTCTTCATTGCTGCACTTCCCCCATTTTCACTCATTGGGTGGACCCAGGTGGTCACCACAGGCGAGTATACCAAGCTGTCTACTCACCGGCTCCCTTTAATGTTCAGTCCCGGAAGGGTGTTTCTTCTAATGGGCACTGACTTTTCCTGCCTCAATGCACCCAAAGGCAAACCACTTGGCTGGCTTGAAATTCAAAAAGCAAAACAGTCTTTTTTTTTTTCCTCGCAGGTCCTTCCTTCAAATCTTCTGTTCTCTCAGAAGTTCTGGGTAGGTCTTCGTGTCTTTTCAAAGGCAAAATTCCTGGGTGAGGCTCAGGTTTTCAACCTAAGGCCCCCTGATAAGCTATACACAAGGCTACTGCATTCAAGGAGCCCTAGTGGCACAGTGGTTAAGAGCCATAGCTGCTAACCAAAAGGTGAGCAGTTCGAATCCATCAGCCACTCCTTGGAAATGGGGTGGTTCTACTCTGTCCTACATAGCAATGGGTTGGGTTTGGTTTACTGCATTCAAACCAACAGCCTGTGTTTCTCTCTAGTTCCCCTTTCAGCATATCCAATCAAGTACCATCTGAAGGTGGAGTTGCATGCTCTCTGTTATCTATAATACTCAATATTCATTTCTATGTCTACTTCACAACACTAAGTAGGAGAAACATCAATATCCACAGTAATTTCAAATAAATACTTAACCCTTTGAAAAATGTTCCAGTGTCATCTTCTCTTCTCCACCCCTCAACTATCTTCCCATTCATATGCATATGGCCTCAGGCATCTGGCTGGGTAGAACCGGTAGGCCCTGGCCCCCTATCAATCATTTTGCTTAATCAACCTGGCTTTTGTCCCAGGCCACTCCAGATGCAGCTTTTCTGCCCTCAAATGCAGCATAACATCTCTAATTTTCTTTCAGCCATTACAGGTAACAACAACCAAAGTAATCATCTAAGAATCAAACATTTCACTTCCCATGCCCCTATGCTCTTTCTCTTACAAAGTCCCATGCTTCCATGAGTCTGGAGCCATTGCAACAAATTCCGCTTCTGACGTGTTTTACTCCTTATATATTTGCCATACAATCCTACTTCTATGATGTTAATGAGGTGGGATAGGCAGTAGTTATGTTAATGAGGCAGGACTCAATCTACAAGATTGGATTGTGAGCCAATCTCTTTTGAGATATAAAAGAGAGAAGTGAGCAGAGAGACAGGGGGACCTCATGCCACCAAGAAAGCAGTGCCGGGAGCAGAGTGTGTCCTTTGGACCTGGGGTTCCTGCGCAGAGAAGCTCCTAGTCCAGGGGAAGATTGATGAGAAGGACCTTCCTCCAGAGCTGACAGAGAGAAAGACTTCCCCTGGAGCTGATGCCCTGAATTTAAACTTCTAGCCTACTAGATTGTGAGAAAATAAATTTCTCTTTCTTAAAGCCATCCACTTGTGATATTTGTTATAGCAGCACTAGATAACTAAGACAGCAACCCTATGTACAACAAAAAGAAACACTGCCTGGTCCAGCACCATCCTCACTTCCCAATGTAAATTACAAAAATGACACTCTGCTGTACACTTCAATCCACTGTGGGCTGGTCAGTAAACGCCCCCATAGCACAGTCACCTGCTGTCATTGTTAAGTGCTGTGGAGTTGGTTCCGGCTCATAGTGACCCTATGTACAACAGAACAAAACAATGCCGGTCCTGAGCCATCCTCACAATCGTGATGCTTGAGTCCATTGTTGCAGCCACTGGGTCAATCCATCTTGCTGAGAAACTTTCTCTTTTTCGCTGATCCTCTACTTTACCAAGCATGACGTCCTTCTCCAGGGACTGGTCCCTCCTGGTAACATGTCCAAAGTATGTGAGACGTAGTCTCGCCATCCTTGCTTCTAAGGAGCATTCTGCCTGAATTTCTCCCAAGACAGATTTGTTTATTCTTTTGGCAGTCCATAGTATAGTCAATATTCTTCACCAACACCATAATTCAAAGATGTCAATTATTCTTCGGTCTTCCTTATTCATTGTCCAGCTTTCGTGTGCATATGAGGCAACTGAAAACACCATGGCTTGGGTTAAGCACACCTTAGTCTTCCAGGTGACATCCTGGCTTTTCAACACTTTAAAGAAGTCTTTTGCAACAGATTTGCCCAATGCAATGCATCTTTTGATTTCTTTACTGCTACTACCGTGGGTGTTGATTGTGAATCCAAGTAAAATGAAATCCTTCACAACGTCAGTCTTTTCTCTGTTTATCATGATGTTGCTTACTGGTCCAGTTGTGAGGATTTTTGTTTTATGTTGAGGTGTATTAATCTATACTGAAGGCTGTGGTCTTTTGTCTTCATCAGTAAGTGCTTCAAGTCCTCTTCACTTTCAGCAAGCAAGGTTGTGTTATCTGCAAATCACAGGTTGTTAATGAGTCTTCCTTCAATCCTGATACCCCGTTCTTCAGTCACCTAGATAAAATTTTAGTTTCTGGGGTCATGAAGTAGAGGGCAAGATTCTGGCTCACAGTGACCAGTGAAGGAATTGTCCTGTAACCCCACCTGATGTACCAGCCACAATTCCTGTAGTTGATCATAAAGAAAATATAAGGAACATGCATTTTCTCTAACACTATTCTGAGCTTTCATATTTTTTTTTATATTTTAGAGTTTATTTTTAAAAATTAAAATAATTTGTATTCATTCTACATCCATTTTCCTTATAAGAGAAATCCATTTTAGTTCAATGTTATTGTACTGGACTTATGGGGTCAAAAAAACCAAAATCTTAGAAATCTATCAGCCAACTTCCCTGTTTTTATTAAATAATTATCAACAACATGTACATTGTTCTGTCAGTGGCGTTTGAGTTCTGAGTAACAATATGCACATCAGAACAAACTTGTACATGAGGAAGGCTGCAATGAAAAGTACCCACTGCCCAGCCCACTGAATGAGCAGTGTACCAATAATGGGTAGCTCTGGTGGCACAGTGGTTAAGCACTTGGCTGCTACCTGAAGGTTCTGTGGTTGGAACCTACCAGCTGCTCTGCAGGAGAAAGATGTGGCAGTCTGCCCCTGTAAAGATTAGTCTTGAAAACCCTAGAGGGCAGCTCTACTCTGTCTTAAAGGGTCACCATGAGTCAGAATCGACTCGACGGCATTGGGTTGGGGGTAACAATTATTAGTGATAAACTGGATTAGTGATGATTGGATTTTTTTTTTTTTAATTAGAAAATGGCAAGAAGGGGTGGACTGAATATGAAAAACTGGGAGGTGACACAGGAAAAGCCCATAAATTGGTACTAAGACAGAGGATGGTCATTAACATTGCAGCAGCTATATCACATTTCATAGTTTCTAACAATTCTCCTACATGAAACCTTATGACAGGACACTAATCTCAAACTGTCAATAATAAAATAATTTTATAGTACTTTAATCACAGATAAGGAGTCCCTGGGTGGCGCAAATGGTTAAGCACTTGACTACTAGCCCAAAGGTTGGCGTTCAAACCCACCCAGAGGCGCCTTGGAAGACAGGCCTGGTGATCTACTTCCGAAAGGTCACAGCCTTGAAAACCCCATGAAGCAGTTCTACTCTGCACACGTGGGATCCCATGAGTCAGAACTGACTTGATGACAACTAACAACAATCATAGACAAGCATATGAATCTTAATATTATGACAGAGTAGTTATATATAAATATTAAAGCTTTGAAAGTAAATATACTAAATCATAATTTTTTAAATAAATATTTTCTATTTAGAATTTCAGAACTTAGATATAGTACATTTTTATTAAAGTATAATATGTGTATAGATTTCTTTTAATTAAATAAAATTACTGTCATGAGCATGTAAATATGCCCCAGTAGAGGTTGGATTGTGGTTTAGGGAAACAGAAACATTTGTTCAGCACTCCAGCACTCCTTATCTATTACTGTAAATTGGCTCAAATCCTTCTTAGAAGCAGACGGGTTGTAAATAATAAAGAACTAAATATGCATAAGTAATTTAAGACACTACAAATGACACTCAAACACATCTTTTTATTATATACTAAATTTAAAAATACAAATCTTATTAAAAATGCTTATCAAATATTGTATACATAAGTACGGTCAAATACTATTGGATTATGACATTATACATACTTGCTAAGGTTAATTAGAAACAGAACAAAGTAACATTACTTTGCTGATAATGGTTTCAGAAGTCAAATATTTTAAAATTTGGCAACTGTGAAGTAGTGATCTGCACAGGAAAATGTTTGCAGAGGTAAAAGAGTTAAAAAAAACAAAACAAAAAACAGAACAACGCAGATATTCCTGCCCTAAGTGTTAACAACTAGATTTCTTCCTCATCCTCTTAAGTGTCACTGTAACAAAAATTAAAGTGCACAAGACCACCAGGAATACTTGTTTTGGTTATACCCTAACTATATACTACAGCCATCAAACTGTACAGCCATATTGAGGGTTTTGGCCCTTTTAACCGTTCCTGAGGCTTTGGGAGTTAATTTTGAATGTGGCTAAGGAAAGGGAGGCCAACACTTTCAAAATTGCACCAAATGGCCTTAAAGTGTAAAAACACTGAAGATAAAAATATTAATTTGGGAATAGATTCAAGGAAGTTATCCCTGTCTATTTTGCCCTAGGAATAAAATTAGAATAAAGACCTAGCTTTACCTCTGGAAAATGCTTACTAAAAATCCGTTCCAAAAGATCAGACATGGACAGCAAGCACACAATACTGTCAGTTACTGTCCACCATTTATATATTGCATCATAAATACCAGGCATAAATATCTGCCCTCTAAAGGTTCACAAGAAATACAGGTACTGTAGAAGCATGTCATTACTTGACACTAATTTTACTAATTAACATTGTAATTTGTAAAAATAGGTCACCACCATACAATCAAAAAAGAGAAGGAAATCTGCTAGTCTACAAAAGTGCTCCTTTTAGCTTTCAAACCCAATAGCTTAATTTTGGGTAAAACAAGATTGTAAAGTAAAACCATCAGTTCTAAATAAGCTGATGATACCATATATACATACTCAAACATATTATATTTAAATTTCATTTCCAATTTGACACTAATGTACTAGTATAAACCATTTAAAGGAAACATTTCATCAGGCTTATTTACAAACACACAATGAGTGACAAAGATACACAAAATTTAAAAAATTACGATAATTGTAGCCATTTAGCAACTTAGTTCACTAAAGATAAAACGAATCTGCATAATTAAAAAAAAAAAAAGGAAAAAAGTTTAGTTAGAAACCTCTACCACATATATCTATTGGTCATTGGACCTAAGAGACAAATAAATGTGATGATCATGATTAAAATTTGATTACTGTTTCTTTTAATAACATATCAATACGAGGTCTACTTAAAGTATTACCTACAAATACACATCCTCTCACAATTCAATTAGAATATTAAATTATTCAATACATTTTTTACTCTTGTGGCACATCACACTTGGTAACACTAATAAGGTAGATTTAGATAACACTCAAATCATGATTACGAGTGTTTAATTGAATATTTTCCTTTCTGTAGCTGTGAAATGTAAAGCTTAGATTTGCTTCCATCAGGCCTCTTAAACCAAACTTCATCATGGTTAATTGTTGTAATTATGGCACTAAAAGGAGAAAAAAAAAAAAAAGAATGAATGAATGAATTACAATATGCCTCCTCTACTCAGTTTAGAGTACTAACTATAAAACCAAAATGGCAAAAAAAGAAAAAAAAAAAGGCTGCACTACAACAGCAGATTCAGATATGTAACTGTCATTTACCAGTATGCTGCACCATTATGGCATGCTGTCAAAAATATCACATTCTACGTTTAAGAGATCATGTTCTCTTTTTTCTTAATAGAGATGGAAAAATTTACTTTCTATTAGGCCTATTAAATGCACATTGTTCCTACCCCATCTCTACCCCCTCCCTCAAAAAAGGGACAGAGAGGAGCTAAAACCACTTACTTATGTAGTATTATGCCTCCAACTCATATCAGCCCAAATCCCAATCCCTCTACCATCTATAGTATTTGTATGAATTTTTTTTGACACAACTAAACTTTACATATAAATATTTTTAAAAATTGATTTGTGTTTAATCTTCTTTATGCTATTTCACCTCTTTTTAGAGCCTCTTTTATGCTACGTAGTACTTAAATGTCACAAAAGCAAAAAAAAAAAAAAGAAGAAGAAGAAGAAGAATCCAGGGGTATCATATATAATCAAATTCAATGAGCTTCTATGAAAAAAGTTAATACACACAATGCTCTTGGTATCCTAAAAATTTAAAGATGAAATTATAATCTGATTAAAACCACTGTATTTGGAAAATGATTATTCTAGCCTAAACCCAAATGCTTTATATACCACAAATTCCTAGAAAAAAGTATTTTCTTACTGTAGAAGTTTACTGCTCTAAGAATTAAATCTTAAACTACTGAAGAACAAAAGTAGTGATTAGCATTAATATTTTCCAAAGCTCACAAGCAATTAAAATTTAGAAGCCTATATAAATAATTATATAAACTTTATTTAAGCCTAGGCACATAATTATTTAAGCCTAGACTTTTAAAGCAATTTTTAATTTTCAAGTAACAGTTTAATTACCGTTACTCTTAAAGTTTTCATTAATTTTCCTTTTCTTTCCCACTCTAATCAAAAATTATTTTTTATCCAAAATACTGTAACACGCCCAAAAAGTTAAGGATTAATTTGTACCAAAAATTTGTACTAGTTTGGTTTAAAGGTCATTATAGTCAGTGGTAACAAGCCATCTACTATAAGAATTAACAAGCAGAATCACTTAGCAGGCTAAATAATTCCAACATTTCAACTTGTGTTTATGTTTATATTCCACAACTTAATATGTAACTCTGGTGTATAAACATTAATGCTGGTGTATACACATGTTGATCAAATGATATGTCAAGTGAAAAAAGGATCTATAGACAACAAATGATGCATTGTGAATGCACTATGGAAGTAGTATTTATTGACAACAATATTGTAAACTACAATACTGAGCAACACTGAAATGATAAAGGCTTTTTACCTTGTAGGACATTCATCTTTTTTATCAATACATATCGTTTGTCCACGTATATACCATTCACCATCATAATATAGTCTTCCTTCTTCAGACCTAGCACTGTGCAGATGTTTTTCCAGTTTCACAGGTGCTAAAGGGATCAGTTCAAAAACTGTTACATTAATAAAACATTGTCAGGAGAATAAAAGGGTCAGAACATTAAGAATTAACATTAATACATGTGAAAAAACACCAAAAATATTTTTTAGATAACAAAATGTAATAAAAAAAGAGCGAATTTTATTTCTTACATTCTTTTATATAATTCACTAAGTTTTTAATAGAACTACTAAACAAAACTAAGCAATGAACATCAAATCATCAAATAACTGGACACGTGCCAGAGGAAAAGTGTGTACAATATAAATTACTAGTGTCAAATTTAAGTAGAATTTAAAATTTCAATTGCCATATTATATTTCTCATATTATCTCTCCTGCAGACCTCTGACGGGGTCCTGGTGGTGGAGTTGTTAAGCGTTTGGCTGTTAACCAGAAAGTCAGCTGTTCAAATCCACCAGCCACTCCTTGGAAACCTATGGGGTAGTTCTACTTTGTCCTGCAGGGTCACTATGAGTCAGAATCAACTTGACGGCAACGGGTTTAGTTTTTTTTGGTTTGGCAGGCCTCTGACACTTACAAAGAAGCTAAGTTTAATACAGATTCCAAGAGTTCCCCAGGCCTTTGATTCTGAAGAGGGAGTTGTCCTAAGTAGGACTTCCACTTTTAAATCCTAAAAATGGTCTGGTATAATTCAGATAAACTCATGCAGAAAACAAAAAAAATGTTTTTTATGGCAGCACATTGTCAAAAGCATACCATGAACTAAGTGCCTCTTCATCATTCGAATGTCACTTCTTCAAAGGTCTTCCCAACCATCCTACCCATGCCTCAATTCATCTTCATCACAACCTTATAGTCCCTTCATAGCAATTACTACAATCTGTAATTATCCTGTTAATTATTTGTTTATATATATTATTCTGCCTCCCTCAAAGAGGTTCCAGGAGATTCCAGGAGGCCCAGCTCTTTCATCATTGTATCCCCAGAGCTTAAAATAGTGCCTGGTATGTAAAAGGTGTCCAATAAGTATTCATTCGTATGTTCATTCAACAAATACTTTCTGAGCACTTCCTATACATGAGAAACTGGGTGCTGGGGATAAAACTGTGGCTAAAAGATGTGGTTCAGAACTTTGTGAAGCTTTGGTTCTAGCCTTTGTTAAGACAAACAAGTATACAATAAAGAAATAAAAATTGTTGTGAGTGCTATGAAGAAAGCAAACAGGATGCAATGCTAAAGATAATAGGGTTGGGGGGCAATTAAATAGCGTAACCGTACTCTCAGAAGAATCCATGACCCCCCAAAAATGTTAAGAATCACTGCTCTAGAGATTTAGGAGGTTGCCCTTCCAGTTAATTTCCAAGGGAAATACTTTAATACAATATTGCTGAAATTTCCTGATATGGATTAAAGATAAATGGAAATGTCGCTTATAAATTACCGTTATCTGTTGAAATGTGACTAGAAATTCCTTTTCTAGTATTTAAAATATGTTTTTTAAAAAACCGAGTTTGATTGTTCATAGATGGGTTAGGAAATTTTATCTATAGTGAGAGAAGGCACAAACAAAGAAACTTAGCCTAGACAATAACATCCGTCACTACTTAGGCAATGATTTTAGACCTTTAAAAAACACCAAGAAATTATAGCTTGATGTAAAATTTTAGTAAATCTTAGGGGTGGGTAAATTTCTTTGATGGATTCCACTGCCAGCACTGTAATCTCTTTCTTCAGAAAAATGCACGCACAGAAGAAATTCTGCATATAATTTCTAAGGGTTCACAGATTCCCTGAAGCCAATCCATGGACTCCAAACAGCTTCCCAAGCGCACTACTGGGCCCATGAAGAACACTAACTACTTTGTGAATTACTGATCCATTATTAACAATAATAACAATAATAATGAGGTAAAAGACTCCATAAGAATACCCCATATTTTCAGGTATAGTGTTCACAGATGAAATGAAACTATTGATGGAAGAACTCTCTAGTATGTACATGACTTATCTCTGATTCAACAAACCTCCAAAGAGAAGATTTCTGAATTCAGACTAAATGACTTACGTTCTGTTTTCACTCTGTGTGGACCCAGTGTAGCCATTGCCTTAATAAAAAAAAAAGAAGAAAGAAGTTGTCTGAGTTCATAGATCAAAAATATATATTGGTATATACTTAATATATATAACACTCCTGATTAGCTCAGTAACAAAAACAGTGAAATATAATTTTCAGTTGCCTTAATAAATATTTAATGTCTAAGACCATAAAGGTCCCTAGATGGCACAGTTTGCAGTCAACTGCAAACCTAAAGGTTGATGTTTCAAACCCACCCAGCGGTACTACAGAAGATAGGCCTGTTGATTTGCTTCCATTAAGATTATAGCCAAGAAAATCCCATGGAGCAGTTCTACTCTGTAACACATGGGGTTGCCATGAGTCAAAACTGACTTGATGGCAAGTAACAACAAAGATCATAAAAAATGTATATAAAGAATAACAATTTCTCCTACACGTTATCAATACCTGAAATATCATCTAATTCTCAGCTAAGAGGTTTCCAAAACTGGAATAATTTAATAAGAAAAACAAGTCTCCACTTTCCAACAAGCACAGAAAATCCTATCATTCTTGAATGTTTAATGATATAAGACAAGACAAAATAAGGGTTCAAATATTTACTTTTGTTCATTCAACAAATATTTATTAAGTGCTTTCTAAAAGTCAGGACTGGGCTAAGCACTAGGCATAGAAATGCTGACTTATTTTTGGGCAACTTAAGTGTGATGGTTAAGGTTGTATGTGTCACCTTGGTTGTGCCATGAGTCTCAGTGGTTTGGCAGTTACATAATGATGTAGTTTGGCAGCTATGTAATGATGTAATTATCCTCCATTTTGTGATATAATGAAACCACCTCCATGATGAGATCTGATGTGATCAGCCAATCCGTTGTAAAGGGAGTTTCCTTGGGGGAGTGGCCTGCATTCAATATATAAACATATACAGACATTCTGGCAAAGCTTGCTGGCTTTTGCTCACTCTGGATCCTGCATCCAGATTGTCATCATCTGACCGCTGGTTCCTGGGACTTGAGCTAGCGGTCTGCCGTATTACTGGCTGATCTTGGGATTCATCGGACTCCGCAGCCTGTGAGGCAGCAGCCTGCCCTCTTACCTGCCGATCTTGGATTCATCAGCCTGTAAGCCTGTGAGCCAGCAGCCTGCTGTCTGACCCGCTGATCTTGAATTCGTCAGCCCCTGTAGCTACATGAGTCAGGAGAAGCCTCCAGGCTGATGCCTGACCACAGACTTGAGACTTGTCAACCTCTATAACCGTGTGAGCCATTTCCTTGAGATAAATCTCTCTCTCTCTCTCGGCTTCTGTGTGTGTGTGTGTGTGTGTGTGTCTGTGTGTCTGTGTGTCTGTGTGTCTGTGTGTGTCTGTGTGTGTCTGTGTGTGTCTGTGTGTGTCTGTGTGTGTGTCTGTGTGTCTGTGTGTCTGTGTGTCTGTGTGTGTCTGTGTCTGTGTGTCTATATGTATACAAAATGTATATATACACTTCACTGGTTTTGCTTCTCTAGAGAACCCAGCCGAAGACACTAAATGTTTTTCTGCCCTCTGCATAAATTATTAAGTACATTATTACAGAAAAAAAAATATAGTCAAGCTGTTGACATGTCTCTAATTTCTTAAAATATTCTTACAGCCCACTGTTATCTGTAATAACTACCTTAGAGAGAATATTATAAAAATAAAGCAATTTTATAATAATCATATTTTGATGTATTAGTAAAAAAAAATGAATTTTTAAAAAGTATATTATAAAAATATACTATGTTCCACTGCTGTTTAATCATACCTTCCTAATTGTTGTCCAGTCTTCAAGAATATCAAGATCTTGTAGCATATAAACTATATAAGGACGTTGAAAAGTCAAGGTAAATTTAGCTGTAAGAATATCATACTTTTAATTATACTTCCAAAGTTCTGTTTTTCAGAGAATGAAACAATGGTTTATGGACATAATCCTCTGGTATGCTGAATTCTGACTTCAAATTATTCTTCAAAAAACTCAGTACCAGGGAGGGGAGGGGCCAAGATGGCAGAGTAATCAGATGCTTCCGGTGGTCCCTCTTACAACAAAGACTCGAAAAAAAAGTGAATCTATTATATACGACAACCTAGGAGCCCTGAACATCAAAGGCAAAATTGAGGAATTGGACTGAGTGGCAGGGGGAGGCAGAGATGGTTTGGGAGCAGCGAGGAGTTGCCGGACATGATCCGTCGGGAGCCGGCACCCTTCAGGCCGGATCAGCTGGCATGTGCAGTGAGGCAAGCAGTGGCACTCAGGAGGCATTTTCCACATCGGGAGAGACCGAGTGGGAGAGAGTCTACTTGGGCCTCCAGAACCAGTGAAAAGTGGCGCTCAGTTGGCAAAAGATAAGTACATACGTCTGACCTACTGTGCAGATCAAAAAATACCCCCTTTGGGAAAAACCTCTCTTCCATTTACCTGCCCCCTCCCCACTCTGCACCAGGTCCTGGACTGGCTTCAGCCATTGCCGAGTCCCCTGGGCCGGAAGTAGGACCCATCATATGCCCTGAGCCATTCTCCCAGCCTTGGAGAGGAAACAAATTAACAAACAGGAAAAAATAATCTGCCAGCTCCCCTAAGCTGAGAACTTAGGGTAGGCACAGCTCCTTTGTCTAGGCACAGGCATAAGGGGTTCATGGACTTTGAATGCCTTTCACCCCTGCATAGACCCCTGTGGGCCCATTTCAACAGCGTAGGTCCTCATTACCACAGTAAAACAGGGTATATACATGAAGGCTAACTTCAACTGTATCAGCTATATGGTGAAGTGGCAGGTGCATGACATTTGACATCGCTCTGCCCATTAAGCAGGGTCCTCATCTACCCACATTAGGAGCCTGAAGACTGGTGGCTCCACCCACGCCACCTAGCCATCCGCGATAGGGGTCCAAGAATAAGTAGTGCATCCCAGTCCTTACAGCCAACAGCACTGTGTGCCCACAGTCTAGCTGCAAAACCCACCTACCTACGCACTCTAGGGAACAGGGACACCCTTTCCTCCCAGATACTCAGGGGCAGCCATCAGCCCCCTGCCTTGCTCAGCGCATGACCTCCTACTGCAGCCGGATACTTGTGCCTACTTCAATCACGCCTGCCTGTTTAGGACTGTAGGTAAGAGCCTGCACCACCACTTGGTGACCAACTACCTGAACACCTGAGCTGAACCCATACAAGAAAAGTAAACAGACTCCTGGGTTCACATACCTAGTAACAGATCTAACCACCTGGTGACAGAACGTTAGAGATTCAAAGGCGCCAGTAATCCAACTAGCTCACACAAGCAGCCTATTTGCGCATATTAAAACAAAACAAAACAAGAAAACAGGACACAGTAAGCAAAAAACTTAGTACCAGGATAAATACACTCCAGTTCTTCAGATGCCATAAACCATATTTCCTTAATTCTATGATACCACTCATTGTAAGATATACCACCAACCTAATCACTGCTTTGAGGAGCGGGGAAGATGGTGGGGGGGAGGGAGGTGGCATCGTAGGGAATGCCAAGATTGAATACACACATTAATTTAAAGGCACTCCAATTTCAGAGGCATTAAACATGTTTTTCAAATGTATATATGAAAATTAGACAACCATGCTATATACTAACCAGCTGTTTCACATCAAAGCCTTTGTGAGCTATAAATTCACATTAATTTTCAAAGTTGAGATTGTGACTAAATTTCTACTCCTCCCCCACACCGTTTATCCAAATTATATATGTCTGCCTTCAGTTTTATAAATCACCTTTTGCCTGTTATACAATCATGCAAATAAAGTTAATGTGTACTAATAAAAGTTACAAAGGTATGCACAATGCAAAAAAGTACACAAATGCAAAAAAAAAAAAAAAGAACAAAAGATAGAAAAAAAACCCAGAAAAGTTGGAAAAGGATATCTGATACAACAACTGGCTTCTTTTTGTCAGGACTGAAAGGATCCTTCCTCTTTTTTCTTGACTGAAGCTCATCATTCCATAACTCTGGCAAGTAAATAAAACACCAAGTATTAGCGGATTTCTGCAGATCAAAGCAGAAAAAAGAACTAACTAATTTCATGCTGGCTATTTGTTTTTACATTAAAAACTTCATTAGTAGCTATGTATATATACATAAAACTATATATAATTTCATGGGGGGCTATATACTTCTGAATTTTCCTCTTCTTTTGATAAAGCAAACATAACTTGCACTTCAGGCAGCATAATATCTACCACCTGATGAACATATGTCAGGCACTTTGGTAAGCATATACTGCATGCATTGTTTCACCTAATCCTCAAAGCTACTTATGAGGTAATTATTCTTATTGCTTCCATTTTACAGATGAGGAAATCAGCTAGTAGGTGACAGAGCACCGGTGTCAGAGCTCAGCTTGTTTCACTCCACTATGCCTACTCTATATCAGAGACATAAAATTTATGACAGATGAAATATTACATATTCAAAAACAGTAGCTTATAGTAAACCTTCCATCCAACACAGAAAACTTTTCCACAATATTCCTGAAAAAGCCAATATCACATTGGTCGGATCTAATTATTGAAAAGTGTTTCCTTTTTCTGAGACAAAAATCTACCTCCTTGTTAACTTCTATCCATTTGTCCTAGTTTGTCTGGAGCCAAAGAGGAAAGTTTTTATTCCTTCTTCCACATGACAGTCTTTCAAGACTTAGAAGGAACAACATACACTGTAGCTGTCTTCCAATATTAATCTCATGGTAGTTTCCTGTCACATTTCTATTTTGTTCCTTTTCATGTGCTTCATTTTCTTACATCTTTTTAAAGTGTCAGTTCAGATCAAAGTAATAGTCACAACCATATCAAATTCTTTAGAAGCTTTCCCTTTTTCCTGCTTATTAGTACACTTTATTTTCATGCCATTATGAATATCAAGAGATTAAGGTATTACGAGACACTACAGTAAACAAAAGGTTTGGTGTCACTCAAATTAAATACCACAATCACATCATCCCTTACCTGAGGTAATATCAATGCTGTGTCTATCCTCTTCAAGCCTTCTTATCTTCTCCTCTAGTTCACTCTGGACTGTATCATACAACAAAAGCTTCTCACTCTGAAAAAAAAGTAGATTACACATGAGAAGAAAGAAAAAATTGGTCTATCATAACTAGCAGTACTAAACATCTTACTCTTAAAGTACTTTAATACATGATGCTTTTGTTTGCTCTTTTTAGTTCAACTTGAAAATTTCAATGAAATGTCAAATACATGAAAGACGTAAAACTAGAAAATACAGATTCTAAATATAGACTTTATACAATTAAATTATGTTTAAGAACATCTAAATTTACTGTGATAAAAAAGGAGGTAAATATTTACTTTATAGAACTTACAGAAGCTTCCGTGTCCCTTTGTAAATATAAGCAGGTCCCACCTGTCTCTGTAATGGAGAACCCATCTTATAAAGTACATCATTATAAAACGGATTATATTTTCTCATAAAAACAATAATTGGGTCTTTATTCCTCACAAATATCTGAGCATCGAATTAAAATCACCTAATATATCACAAACAAGTCCACAAGAGTCCAATTCCACCTGAATTTAGAGACCATCTCTGTAGCAGATTTGACACACTGAATACAAATGACCGAAGACCAGACTAGTCACAGGATGACATCAAAGACATCATATATGAAGAAAGCAAAAGGTCATTAAAAAAATGGAAAATAAAAAAAAAAAGGTCAAAGTGGATGTCAGAAGAGACTCTGAATCTACCTATGAGCAGCTGATATTTGACAAAGGCCCAAAGTCCATTAAATGGGGAAAAGACAATCTCTTTAACAAATGGTACTGGCATAACTGGATATCCATCTGCAAAAAAAAGAAACAAGACCCATACCTCACACCATACATAAAAACTAACTCAGAATGGATCTAAGACCTAAATATAAAATCTAAAATGATAAAGATCATGGAAGAAAAAATAGGGACAACGCTAGGGGCCCTAATACCATGGCATAAAAAGAATACAAATCATAAATAACAATGCACAAACACCAGAAGAGAAACTACTTAACTGGGAGCTCCTAAAAATCAAACACTTATGCTCATCAAAAGACTTCACCAAAAGAGTCAAAAGACAACCTACAAAAAATTTTTGGCTACAACAAATCCAATGAGCGTCTCCATCTCTAAAATCTACAAGATACTGCAAAACCTCAACAACTAAAGGATAAATAACCCAATTAAAAAATGGGCAAAGGATATGAACAGGCACTTCACCAAAGAAGACATTCAGGCGGACAACAGACACATGAGGAAACGCTCACTATCATTAGCCATTAGAGAAATGCAAATCAAAACTACAATGAGACACCATCTCACACCAACAAGGCTAGCATTAATCCAAAAAACACAAAATAATAAATGTTGGAGAGGTGGTGGAGAGACTGGAACACTTACACACTGTTGGCGGGAATGTAAAATGGTACAACCACTTTGGAAATCAATTTGGCGCTTCCTTAGAAAGCTAGAAACAGAAGTACCATACAATCCAGCAATCCCATTCCTTGGAATATATCCTAGAGAAATAAGAGCCGTCACATGAATAGATATATGTGCAGCACTGTTCACGATAGCAAAAAGATGGAAACCACCTAGGTGCCCAACGACGGATGAATGGATAAACAAATTATAGTATATTCACACAATGGAATACTACACAAAGATAAAGAACAACAATGAAGCAGGGAAACATCTTACAACATGGAGGAATCTGGAAGGTATTATGCTGAGTGAATTTGGTCAGTCGCAAAAGGATAAATATTGTATAAGACCACTATTATAAGAACTCAAGAAAAAGTTTAAACACAGAAGAAAACATTATTTGATGGTTACAAGGGTCAGAAGGGAGGGAGAGGGGTATTCACTAACTAGATAGTAGACAAGAATTACATTAGGTGAAGGGAAGGCCAACACACACTACAGGGGAAGTCAGCACAACTGGACTAAACCAAAAGCTAAGAAGTTTCCCGAATACAACCAAACGCTTCAAGGAACAGCGTAGGAGGGGCAGGGTTCTGAAGACCATGGTTTCAAGGGACATCTAGGTCAACTGGCATAACAGAGTTTATTAAGAAAATGTTTTGCATCCCACTTTGGTGAGTGGTGTCTGGGGTCTTAAAAGCTAGCAAGCAGCCATCTAAGATGCATCAACTGGACCCAACCCACCTGGAGCAAAGGAGAATGAAGAACACCAAAGACACAGGGAAAATATTAGCCCAAGAGACAGAAAGGGTCACATAAACCAGAGACTGCATCAGCCT